GAGAGAGAGAGAGAGAGAGAGAGAGAGAGAGAGAGAGAGAATTTTTAATATTTATTTTTTAGTTCTCGGTGGACACAACATCTTTGTTGGTATGTGGTGCTGAGGATCGAACCCGGGCCGCAAGCCTGCCAGGCGAGAGCGCTACCGCTTGAGCCACACCCCCAGCCCAAGAATATATACATTTTAAAAAAGAAAGGGGGTGGGGAATGCTCCATCTTTCCTAACCTCTTTAAGACATCTGTTGCCAAAATGTTACAGTATTAAAGGAAGCCTGGTGAGGATGCTAAGGTTGTGGAAGTTTCTGAGAGAGGATGCCAATAGTTCTACATATTAAAAAGTGACAGTGGAGCACAATTTTCAGAGAAGGTGGCTCACCCTTAGGGGTAAACTCCAGAATCCCTTGATTAAAAAACTGAAAAGAAGTAACAGCCTGGTCTCGGGATCTTCTCTGAGTCCACCTACTATGAAAACCAAGAAAGAGGGTCTAAATGAAGAAACAAACACTCAGGCAACATTAGTGAAAGAAAACAAAAGGCTACATACTATATTATTCCTTTTATTTAATATGCTGGCAAAGCAAAAGCAATAGAAATTAAAAACAGATCAGTAGATGATAGTAGAAAGAGGGGCAGAGTGAAGGGCATGATTATGAAGGAGCATCTCTATTTTGATTATGGTGGTGATTCTGTGAATATGTGCATTAGTCATAACTATAAGCCAAAAGGGTGGATTTTAACTTCTAAAAATTAATGGTAAATATCTCCTCACTAAAACTAATAGAAAAGAAAACTAGACAAAAACTATGAAAGAGAGAGAAAAAAACACATAGGACAAAAGAAATCAATTATTGATATACTGATACCACTTATGATTGCTAAATAAAATTTCTATTTTACACATTATCAAACATAATCTAACAGCAAAGGAAGGAAATAGTGATTATGGTTAAATGAGGCTATTTTGCAATGACAAAAATATTTCAATAATCAGAAGTCTATTGATGATTGTTCAGTCTAGTAGATCAAAAAGAAAATAGTTTATCATCCCAATTTATAAAATAAATACAATAGATTTCAAAATCCATTCTGGATGATAACTTTAAAAAGAAAATGTATGAATTATTCTTTAAAAGTATTTGTATTATACATGCATAAATATGTGTGTATAATCTATTAATAATCTAAAAATCAGGATTACATTCAAAAAGGAATCAGTGGAAGCAAGAAGATAGGTCAGGGACACTGACACTATCCTTTCACATTGTTCTGAAAGTTCTAGTTGATAGAGAAAAGGGAAAACAAAAAGAATCACATAATGGAAATGAGGATCTCAAATTCATTTGCCTACCTAAAGGCAAAGACAGGAAATATAGGAAAAATCAAAAAAATATATAAAAGGTACATAAGGAATTTTAAGACACTAATGAGAGGAATAATAATTTCAATGTATAGAAAAGCACATAGGTATTATTAGAAAAAAATTAACCTCCCAAAGGTTTTGCTTCTGCCAGAATTAATTTATATATAAATTTACTGTAATACTAAAAACTTGCCATACTTTAAAGAAATACTCTAAAGAACATCACTAAGAAAATTCTAAGAGAAATATATAATTGCTATTAGCTTTAAAAGGTAATACAATATATTATTATTATTTTTATAAATCCTTTGGTACTGATGTGCAGCTGATTAATTGGCTTAGGAGTATGCGATTTTAAGGGACCTAGAGAAAAAAAATAATTCAAAATATTTTTCTGACTCAATACAGAAAAAATTTCAAGTGGTTTAAACTACTGATATAATAAATGAAATAAAATTTTAGAAATAAGAATAACTGAATTAT